TGTAAGACAGCAGCAGACATAGAATGTGGATTCCCCCCCTTCACTATAATCTGAGTCCTCGTGTATTTCCCCACCACCACCATGGCTTGTACACCATCAGCTAGCATCACAGCATGGAAGGCTCTTCTGTCACTTTTCTAAATGCATAAGCCCAAATAAATCTTTGTTCTTAAACATCTTTGAAATATCAGTCTGATATCGCGAGGAACTGGTATTGGCCTTTACAGCCCTGTGCGGCCTGGGACCAACATTCCTTAAGGACTGTCTTCTCCCATATGAAGCCACCCGTTCACTCTGGTCATCTTCAGAGGCCCTGCTTTTATGGCGGTGACCTGGAGAAAGGGCGTTCTCAGTCATGGCAAGAAAGCTTTGGAATTCCCTCCCCAGGGAAGTTCATCTGTCTTCCTCTATTGGTGTCTTCTACCAGAGGGTGGAGACTTTTTTGTTTGGCATAGCCCAAATAATGTTTATTGGCCCATTTCCCTGGTTCAGGTATTTTTAATGTGTTTTCATTAAATTATTTTATAATTCTAAATGTTTTTAATTGTTTGGATGTTTAAATGTTTTTATGTGTGCCACCTTGGGAGAACCATATTGGGTGGAAAGGCGGCATAACAATGTTTAAAATAAATAATAGAAATAACGGTCAACTGGTTGGGCCTCGTGCAAATGTTGAAAGCAGCAAAACCAGGCTGACCACAGGTGTTTAGTAAGGTTTTCTATACACAGACTCCAAGAGATGCAGAGAAATATGGCTTTGTAAGCTAACTGACCCCTGAACTGGATAGCCCAGGCTAGCCTGATCTCGTCAGATCTTGGAAACTAAGCAGGGGTTGGCCCTGGATAGTATTTGGATGGGAGACTGCCAAGGAACTACAGGGGAAGGCAATAGCAAGCTACCTCTGAACATCTCTTGCCTTGAAAACCCTATGAGGTGTTGCTGTAAGTCAGCTGTGACTTGACGGCAAAAAAGTTAACTGAAGAGGAGGGAACCCTAAAATATTACGTAATGAAGACTGAAAATTCTCCAGTGGGGACAAATACGTTTAGACTAGAGCAGCTGAGCATCACTTTAGCTGGGGGGGGAGGGGAATCTGCCTGCTCAAGCTGCTGAGGGTGAATCCTAGAGGAGGATATTTTGTGGAATGGGACTTCCAGATTGTGCCCCTCCCATTTCCAGTTCATTGCAGGGCCCTGTCTTGTGGAGCTAAATTGCTTGATGCAGTTAAATTGGTTATGCTTACATCCTTGTTTTAGGAAAAAGCAGTTTATTTCTTGTGGCGCATAGATTATTGGACACACGGGCATGAATTCTATTTGGCAAGAACGGAGAAGCACTTGCAGAAGTAGACTTTGTAGCCTCCCCCCCCCCAGCCTGGTTTTCACACACATGCCCCCAAAAGTATGTGAAAATGTCTGCCACCAGCGGGAAACATTGAGATCGAGGTCATTCTCCCACCCCTCCAAATGCTGAAATGAGCAATGAAGCTTTGCGTAACATACAATGAAAGACAAATAATTCTGGGTTAGGTACTTAAAGCACTGATGGTACATGGTGCGATGTTAAGCTATGGTGTATAAGCCAGTATGAACAAAATACACAGTGAGTCTAAACACAGAAGTTTCCATAAGTGTTATTTTTTGACTTAAGAGGAAAGTAATGGTAGATTTTAAGCATCTGTTGCATTGTCGTCATATTAAGTTATTGTATTCACTGAACTGTCTGAATGAATTCTGGTTTATTGGTTTGTTTTGGCCTTAGCTAATCATCTGCAGTTTATATTCCGTTGTATTGACCACAAAGATCCTGACAAGCCGTACGTGTTTACCCTCTCCCTAAACGAAGAGGGCGCCTATGAAGGTATGTATGACATTTCCAGGTGGAAGACATTACATAGTACCAAGGGTGGCCAAACTTGCTCAACGTAAGAGCCACATAGAATAAGCATCAGATGTTCGAGAGCCGCAAGACATGAACAAATATTACACACGTTTTTATTTTAAAATATGCAAATTTGATTTTGATTGACATTAAATGAGACGGCCAAAAATAAAAAGGGGTAAAAACAGATATTGATAATGATACTTATTTGTCCAATGATATTTATTTGTTTGCTAATAATATTTATTTGTCTAAGAGAGAGGGGTGAAAAGAAAGAAGGAAAGAGGTGGAAAGAAAGAGAGAGAAACAAAGAAAGCAAATGGGAGGGAAGGAGGGAGGGGGACAGAGAGAGAGAGAGAGAAAAAGCATGGCTCCCCTTCACTTTCCCAGCCGCCCTGCTGGGAGCCGCACAATACGTATGAGGGAGCCCATGTGGCTCCCGAGCCGCAGTTTTGCCACCCCTGGTCTAAACAAATCCCCCCAATGCATGGTTCACAAGGTTCATTACAAAGCAGATTGTAGCCTTTGACTGGCCTGCTTCTTCATTGTAGCCTTTCTGCCCTGACTTTTATAACACTTTTCATGAGGGTTCTTGTTGTCCATGCACGGAGATTCACCAGCTGCAGGCTTTAACAGAATCTTAGAAATCTTACCCAGGTTATCTGCCCTATTTTGTTCCAAAGCACCTCTGATTTCTTCTCATTTCAGCTGCTTCACAGCTGCTCCAATATTCATTCTGGGGTCTGAAGTAGCTTCCTAAGCTTGCTTTAAGTTTTTGCCCAGTTGTGTTTTCCTAGACTTATTTCTGCCTGGAGAAAAGCATCGAGCAACTCAAAACTTGTTACCTGCCTTGACCAACTGAACTACCATTCTGGTTTTTTCGCATCTAACAAGCACAGACATTTTCAGTCTCTTACTGATGCTGGCCTGTGTTGTGTTAACAGAAAACCAGCAATGGTCAGGACTAGTGTTCCCTCTAAGCTGAGTTAGTGTGAGCTAGCTCACAGTTTTTTAGCCTCCGGCTCACATATTTTTGCCTTAGCTCAGGAAAGATGGCTCCAAAGCAAACTAATTTATGCAGCAGCCAAATTGCTTGCTCACAACTTTAAGGCCAGTAGCTCACAAAGTAGAATTCTTGCTCACAGGACTCCACACCTTAGAGGGAATATTGGTCAGGACCCTCATATCGAAGTTATTAAAAATCATAGCACAAAGTCACGTCACCTTTTTTAAGGTTCAGGGGCCCGTACATAGATGGGAGGTAGGGGAAAAAACCAAAAATGGCTTGATACAACAGAGGATTTATGTGGGTAGAATGGAGGGGGTGACTTTTGCCAACAGCAGACCTCTGACTCCCCTTTGCCCCCAGAGCAGTATTTCAGAGGGCATTTTGGGTTGAGGAGAGAACTTTCACCCATGAAAATTTCCAGTAGATTGAACCTCAAATTTATTTAAAAGATTTTTATGCTAGTTCTCCAAGGAATCCAGAGACTAACTCTGGACACTCTTGTGATGTAAGGCTGATATGGCAACTCAGCAGACATCTCAGGGCACCATAAAGACAAAATACATTTTAGTGTGTCTTGTTGAAGTTGTAAACAGCAGGGTCAAAGACTTTAATGACAGGAGGACAGGGCGAGACATAATTGTGTAAAATTCTAATATGGTCAGAAAAAGGACAGACCACTCACAATAGCAGTGAGTGCTGGTAGCAGCCTCCTTTGTTTTGCTCTTTATAGCTCTTCCACGCACACATAACTGTGAGTGTGTATGCCTGCATACTCACAGACCGTGTGAAGTCTGCCTAGTGAGCATCCCTTATAGGACTGAAAAGCTTCTGGCCACAAAAAGTTATAATAAAAACGTCTCCGTCTTTATGATAGCACAGGGTTGTTCCCGCTACAGCTGACTAAGGTGGCTACCCGTCTGAGAACTATGCTGAATCATGTCCCCACACGCAGAGTGCAATCCTGTGCACGCTGAGCTGGGAGGGAGCAGCACCAAACATAATGGGAATTACTGTGCATGCATTGGATTGCACTGTGAAATGCCTCGTTTTCAAAGAAAGATCACTGTTTTTGTCCTCATTTGTTTCTTCCTAGTGATCTCCTGTTCTCCTCCCTTGGACTGCATAGAAGAACTGCAGCTAAAAGTGAGAGAAACCAACAACTTTTCTGCATTCATTGCTAACATTAGGAAAGCCTTTATTGCTTTGTCATATAAGTGATGTCTTGAAATACTGGTAAACCTGTCTTCATACCAATTTTTCACATTTACTTAGGGGGGGAATAAAGATCTTTATTGGATACAACTGAAGTGTTTAGGTTGTGTGATAGTCAAAATATAACTGGGGGTGGGGCATGGCCACAGACATGTGACATGTAGGTTATGGCAATCATCTCTGACTTCCATTGACCACGCAAGTTCTGGGATCTTCACATCTGAACAGGGGCTGTGTTAAAATTACAGGTTTCATTTGTCCCTCACATTCATATCCCACCATTCCTTCATGGACCTCAGGCTGACTTTCATGATGGTGGAAGGAATGGAGAATCCCAGTTTCTCCTTGTGCGACAATCCTGTGAAGTAGGTTAGGTTGACTAGTCCAAAGTCGCCCAGTAAGCTTCAAAGTAGAATATAGATTCGTTCCCAGGTTTTCTGTGTTGATATCAACTACTGCACCACACTGCGTTTTTTAAGTACACCAGGAGGGGGTTGCATTGTACAAACTACACTCGAATGTGACTATTATTCCTAAAGTCAGTTGCATGTGAAACTGCAGTATCAGAAACGATGCCTAAGACTGGACTGTGATCTACTTCTTCCCCCACTAAGCCTTTAGCAACAGGAATAAGTTGCTGTCCCTCTTGCATCTTTTTAAATCCTCCGCAAGCCAGAATGGAAGTGTTTGGGAAACAGTTGTAAAATCACAGCTAAAATATGAGCTCTGAAGAAATTTGGTAAGGGGGGGGGGGGTTTAAAATGAAACTGCATGGATTTACCAAAGGGAAGGGTTGACTCTTCCACAAAGTCTTGTAATACAGGAAGTTGTTCAAGAGTAAAAGCTTGCTACTTGGGTGCTTGGTCTTCATAAAATAAACCCATAATGTATCCCGGGTACAGTTGTCTGGTTTGTTCTTTTTAATAACATGTCGAAACCTCTGCAGTAGTAAGGCTTTCATCAGGACAAGGAGAGATTTCTTCGACATATGTCGCTGGAAAAATTCCACTTTTCCCATTCAGGGATCCATGCCACCAGCCGTCATCTTCTTTTTGATGAATTATAATCACGTCACCTAAAAGAAAGGTGTGTAACTAGATTGATTTTGTTGGTCAAGTATTACACATCTGTGCTTAATATGGGATTGGATCCAGTTGAAATTTCTACTGGGGGGCGGAGTTTTGCCAGTTTCCCTTTCCCATGGTACAGCTGGACCACCACCCCCAGAACCATTTCAGAAGGAGGTGGGAAGTCCTGCTCTGTTTCCAGAAATCTCTTTTTGAAAGCACTTTTAGTACTTGGATGGCTTTCTCTGCCATTGTCACAGGGAATCCTGAATTTTGAAAGTCTTTGGCTGTAGCTTCTAGCCTTTTCCCTCTAATAATACGTTTCTGGCAGAAGACGTTGTGCCGTGTGTGGCAACAGTGGGGATTGGATTCCTAAACCCAAGAATGGAAGGGGTTAAGATAGGATAAGACATAAGCCAAAGGTAGTCTCTTTTACTCCTAGGTAAAGGAGATATTTGACTGATCTTGGAGGCTTGGAAGCAGATATGATGTTCTGACCATGTGCAGCCTCATTAAGGTGTTAACCTGTCTTTTGTTGGAGTAACTTCCATCTACATCCTAGATTCAAATATTTGTGGTGGAGGCTAAATAGAGCCTGTGTAGGCTATGGCATGGTGTTCTCCATGACTTGGCTGGGGAGTTTTTAAAAGCCTTCCATAAGTAATCCTAACTTGATGTCAGGTTTGGCTTTAACATTTTGCCTGATTATTAATGGTGATCAGAAACTGCCTCAGGAGACCACTTGATAAGCCAGACCCCTGACTTTATACCTCAAGGTGAAGAATGGATTTTCTTTGCTTTTCTAGCTTTGTGATCACAAAATCGCTGAGTTGTAGTGGATAAAGACTCCCTCCAATGTTATTTTTAAATGTATATAAGTTATTTAAACTTTTTTCTAGATTTACAAGTGTTATGCGCTTTTTTTCTAGAACAGGCTAGTGCCCTGTTTTCACCTGGGGAACCTTGTGTTATCCCATCAAAAAGTGTAATCGGCAAGGTGCTCTTCCCATTCCCATTTCATTTGTAAAACATCTGGAGGGTAAACCACTGAAGAGCTGCGATCACACAGAACATTAGCCACGCTACAGAGACGGGAGAGATCACACCGCCACATCTGGGAAGTGTAGAGCTCCCGTGCCGAACCCGAGGCTTCCTGCCGAAGATGCGGGGTAAAAAACTAGTACCTCCGAGGTACTAGTTTCCGGAATCTGCAGGGCAAGGGCGGGTGCCTGATCGCGTTTCTGGTGGAATCCGGCGCCCGCCCATGTCCCGTCGCGAACAGGTTTTTTTCCCCCCAAGTCTCCACAGGATGCGCACAAGCGCCCAATGGCGCATGTGTACAAAGAGGCCCCCTCCCACTGCAGCCAGGCTTGCCACCTCTGGAGGGTCGCTATGGCCACTGTTACGCAGGCGGTTAGAGCGGCTGTGACGAGGGGGCCCACCTTCCCCTCCATTTGGCTGTGCCTCGGAGCTCTGTTGGGGTCCGGAAGCGTCTGTCGCCCTCTCCAGTAATCCCACCACCTGCCTTCGGATGTGCAGATACGATTGCTCAGTCATGCATATGCACAAACTTCAGTTTTTTAAAAAAATCCATCCCATTTGGCACGGAAGTGGCGCCTAGCGATTGCTGGTGTGATCGTACTGCACCGCTTCTTTGCCGTGCTGCAGGATCATCGTGTGATCGGCACCTGCCCCCTAACCACGGGACCTCGAAGGGACGTCTGATCGCACAACCGCGCATTATTTTCCTCCGGGGCAAACAGCCCGTATGACCGGGGCCAAAATAGGTTTTTGCGATATGACATGTAAATAACACTTATCTGACATTGGCTTTCAGGAACATCATCTGTCTTATTAGATTTCCTTGCTCTTTATCCGCATACATTTTTAGCATGAAAATGGGGGGAGTCCCCAGTTAAACCCTCTGAACCTCCCCAGGTGTGACTACTTTTGAGGATTACATCCATCTGTTTAGGGGTGCAGCTTGAAGCTGAAATTGACAGGACTGTGAGCTGTGATCCTCAGAATGTTTACCCAAACACATGTATTTTCAGTCAGTGCACTGCATTCTTTAGAACTGTAGTTGACCTGCAGCCCTAATGATATAAATCATTGTTTTAGATTGCACTGATGGTGTATATCTAGGGTTGGCAGCTTCAGTTTGTAAGATTCCTGGAGATTAGGGGGTGGTGTCTGGGCAAGTGGGCTTGGGGAAGGAGCTCAGCGAGGATGATGCCACGGAGTCCACCCTCTGAAACGGCCATGTCTTCCAGGGGAACTGGTCGATGTAGTCTCTGGAGGTCAGTTGTAATTCCAGGAGAGCTCCAGGTCCCACACTATGTTAAACCTAACTGTGGTCTAATACTTTGCTGGCTTCTGAACATTTTTAACCCCCTGAAAATGTCTATTCAGATGAGTGAAAAGGTTAGTTACCTTTTTTCAGGCAGAGCTCATCTCCCCTTTCGGTTTGGTAATCGTACAAAGCCTTACACGTAGAGCATGCTGAACCACTGTTCTCTGGACGTAAAGAGGGTGTTGGATTTGAATGGCAAGCAGTTGCTAGAAAGTAGAACAAAGAACTGGTGAGGTTTACAGTGGGGCAGTCATTACTGTGGCTCTACACCTCTTCTCTCTTTTTAGCACCCACCCCATTATGGCTCTTGAATTAAATTTTTAAGAGAGACAGATTGAACACCATCAGAGCTGGAGGGCTAGAAGTGTTTTGTTCCACTTGGGGCATGCAAATTCCACCTTCTTAAATAATTCAAAAGTATGTTTGAGGATGGGTTGCAGTTTTGATCAAACGATCCTATTTTGGCTCCCTTTTTCTTTCATGCTGTAGGTGGGTATCCTTCCTTCTGTTCACCATAGTGAAGAAATACTCCCAGTATTTAACTTGAGACCTGCTTTTTCCCAGTTTGCCCTTTTTTGATAAATCTGAAGGAACAGTGGATACCAGAACCTTAGAAGATGAAGGGGGAAATGGAGCCATGGTCCCAACCCTGTGGGTCCCAACCCTCATGCCCTGCCTTTTCAATCCAACTGCATTGAAAGTGTCAGGGAAAATGAGTAATTAGAATGATGATTCTTCCTGGGAAGAGTAAAAATTAGTGGGTATAAGGTTCAAGGACGGAACTTGAGCAAACATTCTAAAAAAAATCTCAGTTTAGGGGATATCTACCAGATTCAGGCAGTTAGTTGAATTTCTTAGACTGCATCACTGCAAATGTCTTAATTCTGAGGTTCACAAGAATAAAAATCCCACCTTCCCCTTCTTCTGTTTTTTAAAGTCCCTTAAAAGGTAGATGTGCAAGAAGAACCCGAAGTGACCTTGTAAAATGCCTGGTGGGGGGGGGTCAAAAAAGGTCACAGTTTTTGAAAGGAGAAAGAATGCAAGGGCATGTCAATTGTCACCCTTTCAAAAATAATTCAGAATTGAAGTCTACATGACAAAATCTGGGTCAGTTCCATTATCAGTGTTTTTGCCCTAAAAGCAACAGTGGGAGCTAAATTTGTTGTTGGT